CAAAAAACTAACTAAAGTCAAAGTCGTCAATCCGCTATGTTTGGACACCATTTTGGGGCAGTGCGTAGCCTTTTTTTTGTGGGATCATTGGCTTTTTTTTAATAAGTAGTTACAAGGAACACAACAATATGCAATTTATATAGATGTAGGGACGGGGGTGCACGGTAGGGGGGTCTGGCACACATAGCCCTGGAGCCAGGGCCCAAAAATCGACCTGATCGCAGGCGAAAGTTTGATTGTAAATTACGAAAGTGTATGTTATTCTGAGTAAAAAAAATCTTTTCTGCCGTTCCGGAACCGCTGCTTTCAAAAATGGCAGCTGATTTAAAGGATATTAGGCATAATTTGAGGATCGAAGCGGGAAATCCATTGCGAAAAATGTGAGAAAAGTTTTTATTTTTTTAACTTTTATATATGGGTTTAGACATGTAAAAAACAAAATTGCTAAAGCAGACCACCAAGGGAAAACTTTTTACAGCCAAATAAGTCTTATTTTTTCGATATTTTTTGGGTTTTTCACCTATAACTCCTAAACAATGCATCAAAGCGAAAAATGTATTCTTTAATAAATTAAAAAACGTTAAATTTGGCGTCAAATGAATACATAAACTTTAAAATTTGGTTACGTGGTAAGGTATAAAACCACGGTCAACCAACGTTGAATTTTACCAAATTTGCCCAAAACTGAGACAAAATACTATAAATGACCCTGTAACTTGGAAATGAATTCCTTAAGAGGAAAACCCATAGAATCAAAGTTATAGAGCATCCAATTTTGCGTATACTAAGTACTGACGTTTTTATTGTTGGCCATGTTGGGCATTATCTCGAATCGGGATTCGTTATTCCTTTATAAAATTCAGTATCTTTTGGCACATCGTATATCAAAATCACATAGGTAATATGATGGAGCTGGCAGAGCCTTATTTTATACTTTCACTTACTCATATATAAACATCAATGGTAATACATGTTTTGAGGTCCCTAATAACCATGTCTCGCAAAATGGTGTGTGTGTGTGTGTGTGTGTGTTGGAGATGAATTAATATTTGAATTGAACAATGCAATAGACAGGGCCGATCATTACACAAGTTCTTTGAGAAAACTAACTTCAAAGTGTAATGACATTTGGTAGGATACGTTTAATACTTTTAATTACATTTTGATGGAATTTAAATATTATTAAAGGTCTGGTAGAGAAATGTTTAGCACCTTTGAAACTATGATCCAGAAATTAGAAATTAAAATAGTTAAACCTGCTGTCTGAATAATTTGTGTTTTTACATTAACAAATTCAAACAACCTCATACAATAAATTATGAAAACTTTTGAAAAGTCAGAAGATAAAATCAAACAAGAGAAAGGAATAAAATTTCATTCAACCAATTTCTCTAGCATAATGTGTCTGAAAAATACCAAACCTATTTTGGCTTTGACAGGTCCAAATCGATTCTATAATTTTTTTACAAATGGTTTGGTCTTTTTCACTGAATGATGGAAAGCAGATTTAAAAACAAAATTGATGGCAGGAAGATCATAAGAGACATAACACAAGAAAAGCTGTAAAGAGAACCTGATAAAGAAAAAAACTAACGCTACATTGCTCTGTAATTTTAATTTTTAACCAATAAATAAAACTGTATCACTACAATCCATGAACAATCTTGGAGTCAGTACTTCGTAAGAACTGTACTGTTTCCAGACCAATGACTGAGTGAGGAAGCGATAGGGCCAAGAGCACGCTCAACTTTAAGATTTTTCTCCTGAATCAAGTAATTAATCAAAAGTACTTTATGTAGCCTGAGTGTGCCCCAGAAGGTTCTCCAGATGACAAAATAATAAAAAATAATAAAATTTATTAGCAGAAATTGGAAAAAAATGTACACTAAAAGAAAAAAAAAAAGTTGTAACCCTCTTCTAATGATTAAGAAATGCTTCAATATAATAATTATAATGAGTATTCTGAAGTTTTAACTATTTTATTTCAAATTTGTATGTCATAACTTCAAAGATGGTGAAACAATTTTTCTACCATAACTTTATTAGTTTTTAAATACCATCGAAAGGTATAAATATAATATTTTTAAGTTTTGTTCGCACCAACTGCAAAGTATTAAACGTATCCTAGCAAATATCATTAGCATAAAAGTAAGTATTTGTTTTTAATCCTTATTATGATTGCAACCCCCACAATTTCGGAAAAATTATCTTCGTTTAAATTGTTCTATGAGAAAAAAATTGCTAATCCTAAGTTGGACTTAAAAAGTGTTAAGTTAATAATACAAGAACTTCTGAATAAATCTTAAACTTCCTCATCATTTCTTCATATTTTATATTTCATTATTATTATTTCTTTATATTCTTCAATTTTTCTGAAAAAAAAGGAATAATGAACTGTTGTTAGAATTAGGAACTAGAGTAAGGTTCTGTAGGTATTGGTACTTTGAATTTTTTTTTTTAACAATTTAATAAAATCTTGAGGATAAGAAAATCACTGTTTTCAACATCATCAGAACCAGTATCTACCTGAAAGTGTTGATCTCCATTATTTTTAGGCTTATAAAACTACTTGTATGGATTTTTTAAAACTAACTCTGAACAGGGTACAAGATTTTTATTTTTCTGTTTTAATAACAACCCAAGCCTGCACGAGTATCACTTTCATCTATAATAATATACATAAGCAACATTTAGGCTGTATAGGCTAACTATTATTAGGATTATATAATATATAATTACCAGAATGATCGTGTTGTCACCAACCCGGGGTAGGATTTTGATGTTATGGCATATTTAATTTTCTGATTTTTTTTTTTTAATCAGTTTCTAAATAAATGCACCCAGAAGTGATTGAACCTACTTCTTATTTTCAGATTTGTGGATGTGCGTGTATGTATGGAACAATTATCATAGTAATACAGTCACCAGCAAAAGTTTTCATTGAAGCATTGGTTGAAAATAAAAAGATCAATTAAAACAATTCTTTACTACTATAACTTCAATACCACTTTTATTAATTTTATAAAAAATATTTGCTTAAAAATAAATAAATATATTTCAGATAAAATTTTAAGTAACAAATAAAAATTTTAATTCAACAAAAATTTTCATACATATTTATATTATGTATGAATTATAATTAATGTGTTTATTTTAGTCAAAAGTTTTAAATTAATACCATAAATCAGTTCCTTTGTATTTTAGTGCCATTTTAAGTGATTTGGGCACTGATGGGATTAACTTCGAAAATAATTGTAAAGGAATTTTCTCCCTTTCTTCCAACAATTTAGTTTTAAAATATTTTACTGATGTTATATTTTCATTTATGATTTGTGGATCAACACAAACCCATACATGTTCAATAAGATTTAAAGCTGAACTATGGATAGGAGTTCCATGTTTATTTGTATAATTTTATGGCAGTGTGTTTGGAGATTGGAGATAATTCCTGTGTGTGGAGAGCATGAGGCTAAGAGATTTATTATCTTGTAAAATTTGAGTGTCTGTTCTACACCCGATTTTCTACAATAGCTTTGACAATTTACAAAAATAACAGCAGGAATAAATGAGCACAAACGGAGAAACAATATTGATTTTAAAGTTAGAATGAATAGAAAAAGACCTCTTACAAGATGGTTTTTTAAAATGATATTTAAGATCGATAGTGGAGAAAAGCTGTTAGGAAATTAGAGGAAAAATTGCCAACTACAATGAAAGGTAGAGGCAGTGTTCTTGTGAAGCTTACTATGTCTGCTTGCGGAGTCAGGAAATTAGCTGTTATTGAATGAGTAACAGAGAAGTATAAATTTAAAAAAGATATAATGGAAATTTAAGGGCTGGAAATGGCAAAAGCAGGTATAAAAATTCAAATTTTATCAGGTCAATAACTCTTAGCCTATGGTTTTCACGCACCAGAATGGCTGCTTATAATTATCCAAATTAACATGATACTCCTCTGCAGAATCCCGATTTAAATCCTGTATAACATTTATGGGTTTGTGTTGATCCACAATTAACAAATGAAAATATAATGTCAGTAAAATATCTTAAAACTAAATTGTTGGAAGAATGAGGAGAAATTTTCTCTCCATTGACTTTCAAGTTGAACCAATCAATGCCCAAATTAATTAAAACAGTACTAAAATACTAAGGGCTTCGTTCGAGATATTAATTTAAAAATTCTGTCTAAAATAAACTCATAAATTATTAAATAATAGTAATATGTATGAAAACTTTTGCTCCATTAAAATTCTAATTTAATACTTCAAATTTTATTTAAAGTATATGTATTTATTATTATGCAAATATTTTGATAAAATTAAAAAAAAAAATTGTATCGAAGTTATACTTATAAAAAAAAATTTGTAGAATTGTTTGTTTTTTTTTTTTCAACAAAAGTATGTGAGAAGACTGTTTTCTTTCATCAGGGAAACCAGTTTAAATTAGTATAGATCTTAATTTAAGAATAAATGCCAAAAAGTTAACAGAAAACAGACCAGGGAAGAAAAAAAATTCTTCAATTTTGAACAAATGTTTATGCTGAACTAGTCATTTACGTAAAAAATACTTTCTTCAACTTATAAACTTTTAAATTTCAAAAGGTAAGACCATTAAATTAAATGTAAAAATTAAATACAATGAGCTTTAAAACTGAAAATTCATTAATACAGATTATAAAATTAAAACTAGATTCATTTTCTTTTTTAAATGTTTCTTTTTTTAAATTGCTTTATTATTTATTTTATTGGCTAGTGTCTCTCTGTTTTATAAAAAAAAAAGGGGTTTGTATAAAATGCATTATTGTCTCAAAATCAAAAAGAATTATTTTCACTTTTGTCAGCAAATTAAGATAAACATACTTTTTTGTGTTAATTGGTTTAAGAAAACTGAGAAATTCACTACTTTTTAATTAGTAATTATAATTGTTTGATACAGCCAACAAATTTAGTTTTACCTTTTTTCTTTCTTGATTTGACAATTCAGTATTGATTATTTTAATTTTCGAAATGTTTTTGTAATGTATGTATTTATGCTTTAGCATCGTACTTTAGATATTTTATAGTAAAAATCACCATAGAAGGTTAAAGGTAAAAATCACAACACAAGTATTATTCACAAATTCAAGTGGTAGTATATTCACATTTAAAACAATTGACAATATGGGACTAATTTCTCTCTATTCATTTCCTCTCACAATGTTGCACTACTAAACCTATACACTAAGAAAAACTACAAAATTATTCATTTAAAAATAAAATAAACAATCAATATAATTTTTGTCCTGTCAAAAATCAGACAATAACAAATTGATTAAAATGAAGGAAGACACATTGAAGAACTGAAAAATACAAAAATTGTACTCGCAGAAATATTTAAAATGGCATCTTACAAAAATCACAATTAATTATTTTTTGTTTACAAAGTGAGCTGAGTAATTCATTTATCCCTGATTGCTTTTACCATTCATGCCGAACATTATTTTTTATTTTTATATAATTTTAATCACTTATTTAAATATGTTTAGTCTCTAAATACTGTATTAAATAGTTTTTGGCTTCAAAAGTTTCTCTTATAAATATTCCCCCTAAAGTTTTTTTTTCATTTTCTTTTATTTTAATTTACCTAATTGGTTATTCAAAAAATATATTTCAAATTCTACTGTTGTTCTAAGATTTCTCTCATGACTCCTCTTATTATTTATTTTAGGCTAGTGTCTTTTTTTAAAAAAAGGTGTGTATAAAATGTAATAATGTCTCAAAATCAAAAAGAATTATTTTCACTTCTGATAGCAAATTAATTTAAAAAAGAAAAACATTTGTACTCGATTATAGAAGCTCGCCCTTTGTAGAAGCGTTAACATATTTGTACGATTACGAACGCAACATCACATGACACCTCACATAACATTTACTAATACACATATATTGCTTTCTTCTTCTGCTTTTATACCTATTCATCAAAAAAATATCCTTTGTAATCTTTCCGCAAGGCAAGCTTTATTTTTAAAATATTTCCTTATTTTTGTATAAAAGATATTGTATATGAGATGATTTTTTTTCTTTTTAATTCTTTTCTCTAGGTAACAACATTAACTTCCTTTTATTGGCATGAAAATAATCTATATTCTTTTTAACACTATTTCTAACGAAGATGTATTGTACAATGGAACTTTTTTTTTTTTTTTTAGTTTTTTTTTCCTTTTAATTTTACTATGATATGAACATTAGAATTCCTATTTTTAAAAAATGTAGTAACTTTTCAAACAAATGAGTAAATTATTGTCCCTAAATATAATTTATCAAATTAAGAGTTTTCAAGTTTTTAAAAATTATTTATCAATGGCAGTGATTCTATGGCTTCTAATGTTCAGATCATAAAACAGTAATACTAATATTAAAAACAATATTTGATTGTTTACTTTCTTAATGTAAATTCACATTTGATTGACTTTTATTATGTTTTATTTAGATATAGTATTTTATCATAGTGAAAAATGAGCAAGGACTAAATTATAAAAACATCCCCCATTTAAAATTAAATTAACAAACTGATAATTATATAGCTTATAAAAATCAATATTTTATACAGTATACAACTTATCCTAGTCAGTACAGGGGGAGTATATTAAATATAATTTATAAAGGACAAGCCATCTTTATTTCTAAACCACATCACTATAACCAAAAACTTCATTAAAATCATTACAAAAAAAAATTAAATAAAAATGTCAACACTAAAAACACATGTTACAAAGCTACTGTATATACATTATTTGACTTCTGAGTCTTTTCGAGGGTTGGTTTATTTAACCTAATCAGTGATGTTACATGACTAGCAGAAACTGAGGATTTTATATCCTTTTATTGTGACACCTCTCGAAAAAAATCGAAGTTTCATATCCAGTCTACGTTCAGGGAAATCGATACAAAAATACCAGTATGTACAGAGAATTTACAAGCAGTTATATAGAGACATACAAAATTAACAAAGATTGTTCATAGCCTGATGTATAAATATATATATTATTTATAAATAGGAATGTGTTAAGTCACAAATCCAAAAACAAAACTGAACAAATTTGGCATCTTCATAAAAAACTATATTCTAAGTTTACCTACATACTAAGTTTGAATTTTCACATCACATTCACCCGATAATAAATAAATCCGTTCATACATCACACACAGAAATTATAATATACAAATATTAACCAAATTTAATCATTATTTCAAATGCTCTGGCAAAATTTAAAAAGTGTGATTTGGCATTTACAAGTGCTTCTGAGATCACCTTTTTTTTATTTTTTAAATATAAATATATTTAAACATATTGAGAATTTTATTATTTTCTGCTCAATTAAAACTGTCAAAAATAACAGAGACTAGCACAGAGCAGTGTTCGATATGTAATACTGCTTCACACAGGCAGTAAGGCAGGCAGTGAGTAGAACCAATAAACAAATTGTACAATTAAAATTTTTTTTAAAAATCTAAAAAACTCAAAAAAACGAATATGAACAATAACAGTTTTAACATTATTTAAATAAATAAATAAATAAAATAAATAGTATACACAAAAAAAGTAAAATACTGAGATAGGTCTATGTCTAAACTATAGCCATATTGGTACTCTCGATTGACCTTTTTGATCGAGAAGCTAAAAATACTAGTATTATAATCGAATAACTAATCCTACCGTTATTAATCTATAACAGTTTAAAATGTCCAATGGTAGGCCAATATACAAAAAAATATTGTTTCTTTTAAAAAATAGCATCTCAAACTTCATGCCTATTCACAATATTCTTGCGCATTCATAGGAAACTGACAATTAAGTCTTTTGATAAGGACCAGTTCCGACACATGGATGCATGGGAAAGAGGGTTGTCCAGGTTGTAGTAGTATAGGTTGGAGACTTCAAGACCGCAGGAGAGGGAGGGCTCACACTGTTGGAAGGTGTACTCGAAGACAAAGTTCCAAGCTTTCTAAGCCTCATCTTCTCTTCCCATTCGTTAGCACCGTGGTCAGGTCGATTCAGGTTTCGGTGTTGATAAAACACTAGACTTATACGGGTAGGTTGGAGCCTGTTGGGTTTATGGAGAGCAGTAGTAGCGTGTAGTTCATGTTTGGCACATTCGAATAGGACTGAACCATGGCTGAGAGCTATTGCCACACCTCCCATCTGAGAATCCTATAAATAAAAATAAATAATTAGTAAAATCATTTTGTTTTTATCAATGTAACTGGTCATGGAGTAATAAATCACAAGGACTCATAAAGAAAATTTAAGAAACTAACTTGTTAAGCTATAATACAAAATTAAAAATATTACCTTAAAACATTCTTCATTGTCTATATAATCTGCCACTTGACCAATTGGTTCAGGTTTGGCCTCCTTTATCATGGGTAGGTACGGAGTCGGCCCGTAGTTGTCCCATCCTGTTAATTGGTACATTCCTACCCCCTAAAACATTAATGATTATTTTACAAATGAATTAATCTGAAAGAAATCTATAATTTTATCAGATATCTTAATTAAAAGTATATATACATATATATATACATATATATATATATATATATATATATATATTATTTTTAAATTGTTTAAACTAGAGCCAGATAATAACAAGGAAGATATATATAATAACTTTATCTATCATTTATTTACTTATGTTTATTTTGTTAGCTTATTAGTTTATTTCAATTACTTAAAATATTTCATGTTATAATTATCATTAAAAAATATGACCATGTTACGTACTTGATAATCAAATGACTGATGTGGATGGATATGATTCGAATGAAAATCAGGATCAAATGATGGATGCTGCATCTGCTCAATCTCTTCTTTAATAAAAGGAGGACTGACAAGTGGACGACTCCAAGGTGGTGGCCTTGAGTACTGTGCAGAATTTGCTTTCGATGGACTCTGAGGAAAGCCTTCACTTGGACAGTCACGAAATCGATGTTCACATTGAGAAGTATTTCTCTCATCTTTTTCTCTTTTTATTTGCATTTCTTGTTTTATGTTACCACAAGGAGGAGTTTCAGAATTGGATGAACAGTATTGCCACTGGTTTTCTTTCTTGATATTTGGAATGGCATGTGGTGTGGAAGGTGTTCCAGATCTTTCCCCTCTATAAGACTCGAAAGAAGAAGAGAAACTGTTGCCATTGATTTCTTTCTGATTACCTTGGAAGTTATTAATATTGGCAGTTTTGAAACCATTTCTGACTCCAGCTCCTTGATTTGGATAAAGGTAACCATTGCTGCTTGAGCTGGATTGCTGCTCATGAGGGTGTAAAGGAACAGGAGTCTGTGTTCCAGAATTGTAATTGTCATTTGAAAAATTTTCAAAATAATGATAATTAGGAGTAGTGCCATAATTATGGTCATGAAAGCCCGGTTGTGTGCCATTATTGAAGTGGTTATTATTATACTCAATATAACTGGGTCTGTTCACTTGCTGATGAAATCCATTGGAGTTGTACATGGGATAACTAGCAAATTGGTTATTGCAGATTTGATTTATATTATGAGATGAACTTTCACCACTAGGGACTATTTGTTGGTGTGGACTCCCGTTTATGCTATTATTACGAGAATTTGTAGAACTGTTTTCAGGATTAGGGCTATGTTTCATGGTTTGCGTCCCTTGACTGTGTTCTTTAACAGTACCTGGAGAATTTTGAGGCACATAAGACTGACTTTGTTCTTTTCCAAATCCTGGAGAATTTTGTGCAATAAAAGATTGACTGTGTTTAGGAGACTTTTCAGGGCTTTGAGGTACATTATCCCAATCCTTGATGGGTGAATTAGGGCGATCAAACCTATGTTCTAATGGTGGAAGGGCAGGTAGAGGTTTGATATACGTAGAATTTTCGAAAGTAGGTTGGGGAGTTCCTGGATTAGATCTCGATGGTGGCCTTCCTTTAGGTACCCTGAATACTGAATTGCTTGGAGATACATTATAAGGAGAATTTTGTTGTTTATCTTCCCGATATGACCCATCATTTTGCATTGGAGACATCGCACTATTAGTTTTTGGTGAAGCTTGATGACTTAATTGATACGGTGACGGAGGTTGAAAATTTGAGGATCGTCCATTGCTACAGGTGACCTGGTTAGTTGGAGACCTATCTTCCCATTGTGTATGATTGAAATTTTGGTTGTTTAAATGGTTCGTTGTGCTATCAGGATCAATTTTAACTTCATTTTCAGAGCTGAAATTCCCTTCCCCATGACAATATTGTCCTGTCAAGAAAAGAGAATAATTATTAATAAAAAATAAAGATACATAAATATATATACTTCAGAGTAGGAAAAAAGAAGCTTACTTTTATTATTCATTTGATGACTAGGGGATTTTATGTTATTGAAGCCAACTGGGACTCCATTAGACCTTGATGTTTGGGCAGCAAAACCTCCTCCCCAACCTTGGTGGCTTTGTACAGGGCTATCAACTACTGTAGATGAAACCTAAAAAATGGAATTAATTAATTAATTAATTTAGTTTAATAAAAAAAAGGAGACATTTTTGGTTTTTTTTTAATAAGCATTCAAGATTTTGTTTTAGAACAAAGTTGATTTTAAATTTTCTTTAAGGTGAAAATCTCAATGAATAGAAAATGATATAAAATGTAAGCAAATGTCTTTTTTTTAATATATTTAAATTTTAAAAACATGTCTTCAATAAATTAATATTTGAATAAAACACTTTAAGCAACAACATCTTACATATTGTTAGTTCTAACATAAATATTTTTTTACTTACTTGGGAACTTTGTAGTAAATCGGAACTTGTTTGGGAACTTGGATCTTTATTATTCTTTCCTGCAGTAGCTGAATTTTGATGCTCTTCTTCATCTTTCCGCTTTTTTCCATGTTTTCGACAGGGTGTCAGAGGAACAGCTCTAACCCTAACTTCGCATGGGAATCTATAAAATTAAATTTAAAACTATGATTCACTTCTACTATCGATTTTTCAAATTTATAAAATGACATAAAGATACAAATACATACCTTGTTAAACTTTCCAAAGAACCGTTTTTAATTTTTTCCAACTGCCCTTCACGATTCCCATACTCATCGGTGTCATCCATTACATACAGAGGTAAAACGTGTAACTGTTCATCATCAGGTTTTGCAAGTGTTCTATGTTTGGTTAATGTTACAACCTTTAAATCAAATAAATCAATATAATTAATTAACAAAATTACATTATTTCAACAAATATTGTATCTATTTGATTTGATTTCAATAATTTAGTACTGCAAAAATTTAATTGTATTTAAACATGCATTCTTACCACAGTGCAACCGTTGTTCATATTATGAGCATCCCGATGAGCATGTGCACAGAAATCAAAGCAAGCAGTTACTCCTGAAAATGGTCTTCCAGCATTTAAACCTAACCTACAAGCTATTGCTTCCTTTTCGAATTCAATCTGGTTTTGGAATGAATCAGGAGCCATCTTTTCATATAAAGGCCCAAGATCAGTTGCTAACTTCTGCATTTTATCTTCAATATCTTGTTCCTTTAATTATTTTAAATTATTTTAATACTAAAAATTTGAAGATATAAAAAAAAATTAAATCATCAGAACTGTTGAAGATTCTTACCTCAGATCTTACTGAGAGCCTAAATTTTCTCACAACTTTACTTCTTGCATATTTACAACCATTGTAATACATTGACCAGGAACAACCAAAAGAGTATGAGGAACCACAAGTAGCAAGATCTAATCCTTGGCAAGCACAAGTTCTCGGTTCATTTGTTGCACACCGCCTAGTGGTTGGAACTCCAAATCTAGTTGAAAACAAATAAACTTAAAGTCATAAGAAATCTATGTCATATAATTGGCTAATAAACAAAATCAGTAATGATAAAATAATAAAATTTAATTATTTTTATTTCATGATAAGTGGAAAAAAGTAACAAACAAAAAATTTTTAAAACTAACTTATTCAATTTAGTCGTGAGCAAGGAGTAAATTGAATCAGCTTCCTGCGAAGCAACACCTTCCCAGGCGACTACCACAACAACTATCCAAGCTGTCGTACATGTGTGGCCTTTTCTGTTCTTAACTATCATTAATATTTTTTCTTCTAAACTTCCTCTTCTGATTATCCATTTAGCCAAAGGGCATCCTGCAGTTGTCTTGCCTTCTTTTCCGGTATAAACAATCTAAAATAATTCAAACCTCCGTTATTTTGTCAAAAAATATGTCAATATATATTATTTGCTAATTAAATAAATAACTTGAACATTAATATTAATTATAAAATACTAAATTAATAAAGAGTTTAATGCCTAAATTAAATTATTACTATTATTAGTAAATAATATTATAATTACCTTTTCTACTCTAATTGCATTTCCTTTCAAACCACTTCTGTTTTCAATATTTGTTCTAAGCTCTTCCAAAGTTGATGCTGAACCAAGATGTGTGTAATAGGAACCAGGTTCAGGTGGACACTGATCAGGTGGAAAACAATGACAATTCGGAATTTCAGTCCTGTTGTTTCGAAGCCTAAAACAAATATCAGTTATTAATTAAAATAAACATTTAGATACAATAAACAACTTCAACAAAAATGTTAGAATCACATTTGAATGAAAACAACTTCAAACTACAATTTGAAGTGCAAAATCTATCTAATGAAGACCATTTTTACCTTTCTACATAATCTAAATATTCCTTGACAGTCATGTGTTCAGGTTTGCTGCTTAAATCTAATTCTTTTTTCACTTCTTTATCAGAATCAAGAATTTCATCTTGTGTTTGGTAACCCTGACAACAGCCATCTTTTATATGTTCAGGTGTTGGTTTTTCCGTTCCTCCTGCAGTAAATAATACTATAATTATGAATGTAAGTAAAAGAAGAACAAATAAATCATTAATCTTTTTTAATAAAAATTGTCTATTTTTCCTTTTATATTAAACTTTTTTTACAAAATAATAAGAATAATTTCGAGGGGCATGATAGCACTAGTCTATAAATTATGAGCATTCCGAAAATTAAGTTTTATCTGAACAATTTATATATGTAATGATATAAGTAGAAACATTTTCAAACCTTGTCTACAACACCAAGGACCTGGAGAACTTTGGACACTGGCGGGACCACCATCTCCATAATAAACATACTTGGCTTGCATTTTTTTCAGAACACCATCTTCCTCGTCGATTTTCTCTATAGGTTCATCTAATCGCGGATCCATTCCAAAAGGGATTTTTGGAATGAGATCTCTATTTTCGGGATCTCTTGATATAAATTCTGTTTGCATTCCCCAAGGTTCTTGTTTTTGGTACCATAGTGCTTCATGTTTCATATGATTGTAACCATATGCTAGTTGATAGTTAGGATACCAGTTAGGAAATGGTCCATTTTGAGATCTTTGCTCAGGCTGAATAACTTTTCTTTCCAAATCATGGCTGGAATGAGTATAGACTAGTCCATTTTGAGGTCTCTGATGTGTAATAGAGTTTTGGTAACTTGCATGGGAATAAGATTGAGCATTCCAGTTCTGTTTCAAGTCGGGACTTCCCATAGATGTAGCGTATTTTACAAAGTTTTCCATTGCTGAAATACTTTGATTAAATTTTTGTGGGCTCTCGCCCCAGGTGCCACCACCCTCAGAAACTAACTTCTGAGGATGGTGGCCTTTCACTAAAAAATTCCCGCTTGAAACAGTCTGCAAGTTTTTTTGGTCCTCGTACATATTTTGGGTTTGAGAATCTTCAGCCTTTTTAGAATCCTGAAAGTAAAAATGAGTATATTAGCCATATGCCTTAAAAAGTTAATAAATGTGTGAAGTCCAAAATATTATGTTACCTGATTCTGTTTGTTTAAAATCATTGTTTTCAGTCGGTTGTTGAGTTCAGCTCTTTCAGGAACTTTGCTACTCTTCTTTTCACTAGCCCAGTTGGATGAAGATAGTTGAGAAGATTGATTTACTGTTTGATAATGCCCATTAGGCCAAGGTTCAGGCTGGTTGTGAACCTGTTTTTGCTGAGTACTACTTTCTTGGGACCACATGTTATTATGATTGCCATTTGACCATAAATGTACATTCTGTTGTGTTAAGCTATTATTCATCAACTGTGATCCACCATCAGTGTTACTAGACCATAACATTTGCCGATTGCTGTGAATATTTTGTTGAGTATTTTGTTGCATTTCAAGAACATTAAGCTTATTTTGAGCCATTTGTTGCTGTGAAGCAAGGTGTTTCTGCTGTTGAGCGATATGCTGCTGCTGCTGTTGCTGCTGAGCGATTTGCTGTTGTTGGGCCAGCTGTTCCTGCTGATGATGAGACATTTGATGGTGTGTAAACATGTGCATTTGTTGCTGGTGTTGGTGCAATTGGTGTGGCATATGATTTTGTTGCTGGGAAAGATGCTGCTGCTGAGCGAGATGATGAGAAAGATGTTTTTGTTGTTGTATAAGTTGTTGTTGTTGATGCTGATGCAATATATGTTGTTGATGAGTCATCTGTTGCTGATGTGTTGATGATGATTGTTGTTGTTGAGCAATTATATGTTGCTGCTGTTGCTGAGGAGACATTTGATGTTGTTGAGGTGACATTTGATGATGCTGATGTTGAGGTGACATTTGATGTTGTTGGTGAGATATTTGATTTTGTTGTTTCTGAGATAGTTGGTGCTGTTGTGAAATTTGTTTCTGCTGCTGCTGCGAAATTTGTTGCTGCTGCTGTTGTGAAATTTGTTGCTGCTGCTGTTGTGAAATTTGTTGCTGCTGCTGCTGTTGTGAAATTTGCTGCTGCTGTTGTGAAATTTGTTGCTGCTGCTGTTGCGAAATTTGTTGCTGCTGCTGTTGTGAAATTTGTTGCTGCTGCTGTTGCGAAATTTGTTGCTGCTGCTGTTGCGAAATTTGTTGTTGCTGCTGCTGTTGTTGTTGAGAAATTTTCTGCAGGTGCTGCTGTTGTTGTTGTGAAATTTGTTGTTGTGACATTTGATGTGAGTGGTGCGGTGACTGTTGCTGAGAGATTTGATGTTGTTGAGGATGATGTGGTGACTGCTGTTGGGAGATTTGGTGTTGGGAATGATGGGGTGACTGCTGTTGAGAATGGTGAGGTGAATGTTGTGTGTTTGCCTGCTGCTGAGACATCTGGTGTAACTGTTGATTATGTTGTTGGACTGTTTGTTGGCTCGATTGCTGTTGAGTATTTTTCTGGCTTTGTTGCTGTTGCAACGTTTGTTGGCTTGATTGCTGTTGCTGTTGAAGTTGACGTGAGCTTTGAATCTGCTGATGATGGACCTGATGTGTTTGTCCACCATTTTCTTGCTGAGGGCTTTGTTGTTCCTGATCATGTGGAGTGATAGGACTTTTACCAGATTCTTGCGACCATTTTTCACTACTTGAATTGAGAGTTTTAGATTCTTCTTTACCTTGCCAGGATTCTTGGTTGTGTGTATTAGTGGACTTTTTAGTGTTGTCATTAGGATCATTGCACCATTCACTTTGCTGACTGTTTATATTTTGAAAATTATCTTGGCTGCTCTTCCAAACCATTTGCCTATTACTTTCTAACTGGTTGTTTAACCAGACATCTTTATTAGCACTGGGTGACTTTTCAACATCATTATGTAAACTATTTGTACTACTACTTCTACTCCAAACATTCTGAGTCGCTTGCTGCTCCCCTTTATTAATTGACGAATTATTTTCTTGCCCTGGATACCTGAAAAGCAAAAATTCAAAGTGAATAAATTTTATGAATAAATACATATTAGGGTATACATTGAATAATATTTAAAAAACTATGTGATTATTACTTACCCACTAGAGTTGAGTGAACTCTGTGGTGATTGGGGAGGGATTTGATGTGGGTATCCAGGCATCGCGTTTCCCTGGTTGCTAGGGGTGGTGGGAGTTGGAGGATTTGTGTACTTTCCTTCAGTGCTATCAAGTTGTGCTGAACCGCACCTACTGGTTGGTGTTGATGAAGTAGGTGGTGCCATGACATCCTAAAAGCATATGATTAATTTTAGAAATTTTGATAAATTGCTTTATTTTGTTTAATAAAGTTAATGGTGACTGAATTACAGAATTACTAAATACCTGAGATGAATGGGTATAGGTGCCATTAAGATATTCAGAAGGTCTAGGCGATTGATCTACATAATCCAGATTACCATTTAAAGTTGGGGTACTTCTAGAATTTCCATTGTGCAAACTATGAGGCGATGGTTGGGCCTGTTGACCTGGGTTGCTGAACACTGCACCATTAGTTTGTACAAAAGATCCCTGTTGGTATCCTACAACTTCGGGGGAAAAAAATAAATAATTTTTAACATAATTTAAATTATACTGCATGACTGGGTGCATAATTGCTTCAATTTAAATTTTTAGGTTTTTTATCAAAAAATATTATAATTAAGTTTGGGTTATTCAAAAATCTTGTAATATTAAAAAAAATCTCTGTATTAATTTTAAAACTTTTCTAATATAATCCATATGAACTACCAATAAGTATCCTAATGAATGCATATGATCATGATTTATAAAGAATAGCTTGTCTTAAATAATGAAATTATGACTTTGGTCAACCCTGAACACTTGACTAAGTTTTTTAAGTTTTGATTTTTTGATAGTTACCTGGAGCAGTTTGAGGATAACTGGTGACTGAGTATTGTGGATATCTTAACTCATCTATCTGGTGAGGGGGGATCTGTTGTATGAATTGCCCTTGGGGATTCCATGTACCTAAAATAATTGAAATTTTTTTTAACAAATAGAGTAAATGTTTAAGTGCTGAAAATATGATCTAAAACCATAATTTTAAAATTGAAAAATAATTTGAAAATTTAGTATACTTATGCAAGAACTCTTGCATTGGATTTTAATTCTTTTCCCTTATACATTTGAAGTTAAGTGATATTATGGAATACTTTTATTCAAATAACCAATATATTATTATCAACAAAGTTTATTTAAAAACCATAACTGATGAAGCTAAATATTTTACATCTACTTTTGAAGTAACAGTTTACTATAAAAGAAATTAGCTTGCCCCGATGAAAAATGTCCCTTCAGTTTAATAGTTTATAAGACTAGACTATCTGTAAGGTTTTATGAAAACAGTATTGTACAAATTCAGACCTATTTGATTGTAGTGGAAAAGCAGTTTTCTTCTTTTGAAGTTCTACCACTAATTGAGAATGTAAAATATTATGAACAAGAAAATTAACAAAATGTGACCACAAAACGTGTTTGTTTTTATTTAAAAACATAAAAATGTTTCTTTCAATACCATTCAAAATGCTTAAGAGATCTCATATATATTCTTCATTGTTTACCTTTTCAATATTTTTTTTATTTATGATTATATGCTACAAAATATAACAATATTTCAATTTTAAAAGCATTAATGATACGTGATAAAAATTGTATGAAAACAGAACTATGTAAACTACAGTAAGAATCAGATTGGGTTCATTTACTATCTTTAAAACAGTACATTTTCAAAATGCCAAAAATGGTAGATTCCAAATGAACTTTTTAACTTTTTAAATGAGCTATCAGACTTTTGACATCTTATTTGTCAAAATTGTTGTTTTTAAGAACTGCTTAAGGTATCCATATTACCGTATATACTAACATAGAATTTTTTACTTTAAAGATTCTTTAAAAATGAATTATTAATCACTGATGTGAATATGAGATTGTGACTTCAGTTTTTTTTTTTTTTTTCTGTCTTTACAATAATAATAATAAGCCTCAGCAATCAGAGAAGTTCACTATTACTATTAATAATATATATTAAAATATAGAAAATTGATAATGAAAATGTAATAAAATATTTACCTAATGTATTAGGATCTGATGGATTCGGTTGCCAAACAGAGTTTGGAAACCTGTGCTCCCTCAGAGGAGTGAAACTGTTTTCAATAGTTGGTTGACCACCTGGATAAAGAGGTACTGTACTGCCAGTCTGTAAAATAAAAAAAAAATTGATTAAATTATTTACTTAATTATTTCAGTAATTAATTTTTGCATATAATTTTATATTTAAAAACAAATAATGAATCATCAAAACTGGAGAAACCGATTTTTTCTACACCCATATATTTTTTTTTTGTAAGAATAGCAATTGAAACCATGTAATTTTAATCTGTTATAAATCACAATGGTTACATAAATTATAAAATCTGATTCACTATACTGCAGTACTTCTTATTTTTCAACCGATTTTAACTAAACATGCTAAGCTTGTCAAATGGTTTCTCATATTTTGTTGTCATCAAACTAAAAAATAATCTGAGAAAAAATTTGACTGCAAACAATGGTTTGATTCCTCAAACAAGAGGAAGCTTAAGAGACAAAGAGTGATAGAATTTTGAATTTATGAATGGAGGATTTAACACCAGTCAGAAGCCTAAGCCTCGTTCAATTTATAAAAAGCTGGCTTTAAAACAGATTTCTGTTTTATTTTTATTTCAATTTTCAAATAAACAACTAATAGTTTTAAAAAATATTAAAATTTATACATAATAAAAAATAACTTAAAAAAATTATGAGATAACAAAGTTTATAGATTTTCGTGGCATTAATTAATTACTCCTAGATGTATAGTTTTTTTTAATAACTTTATTAAATTATAAATATAATAAAGAATTCCTAGAACTTTGAACTAGAGATTTAAATTAGGAAAAGTCTGGTCTGAGAGATGGATCAATGAAGCTCTTTCCCAGGTACACCCTCTCTTAAGTAAATACAAATAAAACCAATATAACCAAATACAATAATTAAAATAGAAAAATTAAATTTTAAGAATATATCTATTATACCTTGGAACAAAAAGGTGAACATCCAAAATTTTGATATTTAATGAAATGTGCAACAAAAATTAGAACAGTATTTACATTACATGCTAAAAGATGCAAATTTCTAAACTTATTAGTTATTGATATTAACTAATAGAAAATTTTAGGACTATTTAATCTCACATATCATTTCAATTTAAATCTAATAACTAACTTCAAGAACTCTTGGACAATTTTGTTTTAAGATACATATATATTCTATTGACCTTTTTTTTTTTTATTTATAATAAAAGCCAAACTTAATTTTATACAAATAGAAAGGTGTAATGGGGGCTTCATAGAACCATATCTTAAATTCTTTTCAGTGTTTGAAGATTTTTCATGTTTCAAGAAATTGCTTTCATAAACAGAACAAAGTACTTGATAGTTGAATTTGACAACATACAATATCCAATATATGTGATATATGTAATTACTTATTAATTTATACCTTGACAACACTGTGGAACCAATAATGTTTCTAAAATTTAGTCCATATTTATTTATGATTTTAAGTTGATATAATCCACACTCGATTTACAGAGCCTCAGAAATCTTACTTGAAAATACTTAATAAAAATGCAACTTTCTTGTCATATTAATCGTTTTAAAAAATTACATAATTATAAAAGAATTTAAATAATAACTTCAACAATGATTAAATCCATCAACCAATGATTTTATTTGATAAAAAACATATAATATAGAAGAAAATACATGAGCTGGATAAAAATAATAATTTTTAGAACAGACCTAAATATTTTGTTTTTATTGATAATGAAATCAATGAAATTATATTAACAGGACATGATTTGTTTAAATCGAGTGAAAAGTATTTGTATAGAATCCTCCTTCCAAAAAAAAAAAAAAAAAAAAAAAAACCAACAATATTTATATATTTCTCTTTATATTTTAAAATTTAGATTATACTTCAATCAGTGCATATTTTATTAAAGGTGTTAAGAAAATAGAGAATGAAATATTTACAATTGAAGGAAGACCTCCTGGTAGGCGACTTGGAGGTTTATCCAATTTGGTCTCACCACGCACAGTCTGAAACAATGAATTTACCACAACTCACTTACACATCAAGAGATGTATATCTCTTTCAAAATATAAGTAAGTAAATGATATTCCGAAAAATTGTCTGTCCTTTAATTCATGTGCTTATATACGAAAAAAGTTATATGCTATATTTAATTGCAAAAAGCATCTTAAAGGTAGTTAGATTGTTTGTCAATCCTACAATACTAAAGTAGCTTTGTATTGTTGTCGAATTTTTTAAAAGGAAAACCAAAATTTGACTTACCGTGTGGTCTGGTAATGTTGTTGTCATCATATTACTGTCTACAACACCATTTAGTTGGAGGTTAGAAGTATGAGCAGGGCTTCTGGGAGCTGCGACTTTTCTGTAGCCCTATACAAACATTAAAAAAAAAAATTAAGTATAAAAATAAAATTAAAATACCATTGAAATGAGTGTAGCAAAATAATTATGAAACAATATAAGATTAGTGAAATAAAGAACTTAAAAATCAGAGGTTGAAACAACTAATTATTTTTCTGAGGGTATAGCCAGAGATGTAAAAATAATTAGTATTAATTAAGAAATAATTCTTTCTCTTAAAAAGAAAAGTTGTTTAGAGTTTAAACAGTATGAGATTTCAAGTTAATCAGTAGGTAACTGTGAAATATTAATAATTATTATTATATTATATTATTAAATGCAATGATTTGGAGCAACAACCACATAAATTTAAATTCACGACCTTTTAAGAAGTCTAAGCTTTACGTACTTATAATATGATATTAAATAACATTAATTTCAGTCAAACTATAATAAAAAATCACTACTGGCTTTGGGGGGATCAGAAATGATTCACAACCAGGTCAAAGTTTTACATAATTGTAATTATTTCTATAGTAATAATTCGAATACCATTATTTTCTAATAATGCATTGTTGCAGCAAACAAGCAAAATACACAGATAAATTTGATAAGCTTTAGCTTGATATATTATAATATTCATTTCTTATGAAAACAAAAAGTAAAAGAATAAATTATAATTCAGTTTAAAATCAATTGTCGAGTAGTGATAGTTATTTTTCTCTATGTTCTATGCCCACATAAAAAAAATCTCTTTTTTTAACTTTATTTGAATTAATATACTCTTATCACCTTATTACAAACTGTTGTATTTGTATGAAACAATATGAAGTTTCTTCATAAAATATAAGCGATTTTGACCTGAATTAAAAAGAATTTTTATTAATTTACTAGAGCGAACATAAGCCATGTTAAACGCTGAAGCAGAAAATATCCCATATGAAATTGTTATATTAAGAACAATTAAGCAATTGAAATATAATTTTATACATTTTTTTTTAATTTATTAGTTTAATTATAATTATTTTTTCTAGTCTGACTTTATTTATAGTAAAATACATTGCCGATGATTAGTCCAGGATCCAGAAAAAATGATAAATGGTAATTTTTTTTTAATACCAATAAATTCACCTTCCTCTCACCCATTCTCCCCCATCGAGATCCAATAAAAAAATCTGACAGATCTTTGACTAATAAACTGCAATTCCACAGAAATGAATATCTCATCCTAGTATCTTTGAAACATAAATATTATCGTTGTGGTTTGGGACTGGCACATATCCAAGTCCATTTTTACAGTGTATAAAACAAACCTTGGCCAAATGATTTTGTAAATTTTGAAAGTATACTAGTTGAAAGTAACTATTTAAGAGAATTATGACATAACACATGGTTTTTTTTTTTTTTTAATAATAAGAGGCATATGAGAATCATTTTTAGTATGAATTCGGCTTCATCTTAACTAAAGCAAAATAGAAGATATCATTTTAATGATTCCATTTTTATTGCTAAAATCTTGAATTAAAATAATTTATTAAAAATTATTTTTAATGTATTTCTACCGTTTTTATTACCATGCCGTATTTCTATACCTCTGTTGTTGTTTTTTAAATGTGATTTTTTTTGTTATACCCTTTCGAAATAAGTGGAAATGTTCGAAGTCATTGAAGAGATAAGAAAAAATTTTTTGAGAACATTTCACGTATATACCATAGTGATATGCGGTATTTAATGATACATGTAACATAGTTTGACATATACAGCATGTCTCAGTTCTTAATAGGGAAATTCTGAAGGATGATTCTTGACAAAATTTCCAACAAAAAAGTTCATATGATGAGTGGGCCGATTCCGAATGGAAATGGAATTTAAACCATATTTCTTAACGTCACGGTTTTCTTTGAATAAGAATGAATTGCTCAAAAATTGTTTAAGATAATTAAATTTTGAGTACACCATCGTAAAGCAGATTTTTTTTTTTTAGAAAATAGTTATTAAGGTTATAGTAGCCGAACAGCACAAATTATGTCTGTAATCCAGATTCCTGAAATAATCCGGCGTAATAGCAGGCGTTATTAGACCGCCTGAAAGTCCCTTTTATCATTGACCTTAGTCAATTTAATCACTGTTTTCTCAAAGATAATTTTGTCTAATTTATGATGGTTTATTTAGAATTTAACGATCTTGAACAGTTTTTGAGCAATTCCTTTTTATTTATTAAAATGCGTGAATACCTTAAGAAAAACACAAAACAGGTGTTAACTTTGTGTAAAATCGTTCCTTACGAATTTGTCAATAAAGAATTGACACACTGTATATGTAAAAACAGTTTCTATAATAGAAATGATTCATTAAAAAAATTACAACGTTTATTATTCAATCAAGCTTTCAACGATATATATTCGCTAAGTAGATGGACCATCGTAAATCCATCTTGCAGTCCATTGGTCTACACGTGCCGAGGCTTGAAAGGCCGGTCAACCTGTGACTAATTTCTTTTTCATAGGACGATCTTTCCACAGAATCACTGAACGATAAAGTTTGAAGACCAAACATTTTATTATTTAAATAAAGTATATTTTATTACTAATTTATTATTTTTAATTGAAGTATTTTAATGTATAAAAATCAAACATTATTAGACACAAAATAATCCATGATATTTTTTATTAAATGAGAATTAAACAAAGAAACTATAGTTACTTAGAAAGAGGCCACAGAAAAAAAGTTAAAATTCATATCACATTTTGTGGAGTGTTCTGGAGTACGTGAGGGAATGAACGTACACATACACTGACGTCACAGATTTTTATTAGTCGTGATTGAGTGATGATCCCTAGTTTAAATTGTTACAGAAATATTTTTCAGTTAAATAATAATGTATCATTAATACAATTTATATAAATAAATAAGTCTCATGGTACTTGTTGCTCTTTTTGTGTAACTAGGAGGCAGCATGTTCAATATTAAGCTCCAAACAATGTATTTATTTTATAGACAATGTCGATTAATCATTTACAAAGAGAAATAATCAACCTTATAAAAAAATTGAAGTCCGCGATTAACACAAGTATGTTGACGAACTAGTAATAGAATAAATTAAATAAGTAAAATGTGTCAATAATAATTCTGAATAATATTCATACAAAAATTAATACTTTTTTAATAGCATAATCAGAAGTCTTAAAGGAAATTAAAAGCCATATTTTAAAATAATATTATATTAATCTATAAAGCCATTTATTAGGAAGAATAATATTTATTAATAAACAACTATTTTATTTACGAAAACTCTTGGAATTGGGGAGTTTTAAATCTGGAAGGGAGCAAACTTTGTCAATTTAATTAGATACTAAAAACTCGTAAATACTCAGTTGCTTTCTACTTATATCGTAAAATAATTTGATCACAAAATCGAGAAAAAGGTGGCCTTCAAAAATATTAAGGCGTGACTTAACACCCCCAAATTTCCAAAATAACTAGGTTATATAGGATAAATGGCCTAATGTTTTTGCAGGGCACCATTTTTTTTCGATTTTGTGATAAAATTATCTTACGATTTAAGTAGAAAGCAAATGGGCATTTACGAGTTTTTAGTATCTAATTAAATAGATAATGTTTGCCCCTCTCCAGATTGAAAACGTCCCAATTCCAAGAGTTTTCGTAAATAAAATAGTTGCAGGTTACGATGGAACGAAACTATTTACGAAGTTTCAAGCGGATGTTAATAATTCGATAAAAAGGGATCTGTACCACGGAATATATGCCTTAACAATCACAATTATATTAACAATTAATAAATTATATTATATAATTTAGTAAAAAACAATAAAGTTTATAAAAAAAACGCATTAAAAATGTATTATTTTTTTTACGCTGCTTCAACTGTCATGGCTATTAGCGACGATTAGTCTTCTTAAATATAAATCATGTGTTTAATGTAGATATGTACTTCTTCAATTCTTTTGGTTTCCTAATATGAAATGATGTTTTTACTTTTTAGTTTAAATGGTCTTTTACAATATTTATTACATTGGAAAATGTGTTGAACGGCGAAGTTTGCCATTGTCACATGCCAGGCAAGTTGGTTGGTGAAGGCATAAAAAGAGATATTGGTGTGTCAATTTGGTATGTCCGATTCTCAATCGGCTAATTAAAGAGCATTCTTTTGGTATTAGATTTTTAGAAATATATATTAAACTATTCAACATGGTATATATTATATATTGCGTGGTACAATACATTCTAAAATTGATATTTCTCAAATAAAATGTTCAATTTTATTTACACCTGATGAAACTGTTTAAAGTAATAAATTAAGTTTCATAAAACGTATTAAATAATATCATATCATCGAAAAATATATATATTTTTTGTACAAAGTCAATTAGATATTTATTACACTTATATGATGCTGCATTAGTAGGAATTAATACAATATTACAAATGATCAAACTCCTCATTAGTCTTTGTTTTGAATTTTAGAAAAAAATTAAAAAAATTTATTTTTAATATTTAAATTTGTGATATATTCGACTTTTAAATTGATAACAAGTGTATGACAACGCTACAGCGATAAGATAGAATCCATACAAAGGGAATTTCCTTGAGACGGTGATCATAGATTTGAGATATCCCTGAACAAAAACGATAACTTCCTTGTTTCGCCTTTGTCAATTGAAAATATTTATCTTTATACTTTAGATATTTTTATTAAAAAATAAAAGTATATATAATAATATTAATAAATAAATGTATGATTTTTTTCCTTTAATTAAGAAACATAGAATAGTTTTTACAATTTCACAACTATTTTATAATTGTATATATAAATTTTTCGTTTTTTTAACTTTCCATAACATTTTATCAAATCGAATCGATATTATTCGTTGACCGCTTTTAGCAAACATTAAAATAGCTAAACCATAAAGTAGATTTTAAAAAATAAATCAAATTAATATCGATATACAATGTGCTCAGAAGACATTCAATTTTGCGCTTCGTTCACATATTTGAACTTCTATTTCTTG